AACGTCTCAGGTTACTTATGTAACCATGGTTCCCTGAGTAGGGAACGAGACACTGCGTCCTCTAGGTTTCTCATAGCGACCCCTAGAGGACGCAGTTCGAAGTTCCCATGAAAGGGAACTACACTGTTTTGGTTACCACTGCCTTCCACTGTGCGTAAAAAAAAAAATCCTTTTTCAAAATATCTTCTTTCATGTTATATATTTGTTTTAGCCTTAATGTAAAGGAATAATAAAAAAATAAAAATATATAAATAAATAAGTAAATAAATGCATACATACATACATGCATACATAAATAATTTGTTCCCTAATCGGACTTTGCACTTCTCTCATGAACTTTCCAAAATGTGCCTGTCCCTCTCAGTCCCTAGGGTATTAAGATAACCGAAATGTATAGTGTATAGTATAATTAATAGTATACTTTTATGGTGATTTTATCTCCTTTTTGATGCATCTTAAGTCGCGATTCATTAGTAAATGAATGGAAAAGAGTGTATCTCTCCTTTTGTATCGAAATTTGTAGCGAGGGTGATGATGGCTGAATGTTTGGGTGAACCCTGCTGGAAAAAAAAAAAAAAAGCTAAATCCAGCCTAAACTGGTTAGCTGGTCTTAGCTGGTTTAAGCTGGTCTCCCAGCCTGACCAGCTAAAGAAGTGGCCAAACCCCCTCTAAAACCAGCCTGCTGACCAGCTATGACCAGGCTGGACGACCAGCTAAAACCAGCTTAGGCTGGATTTAGCTGTTTTTTGTTTTTTTTTAAGCAGGGTAAATGTCCCTTTAAGTATGAAAGCTTACCTTTGCCAGCTCCAGTCACCAAAGCACGCTTTCCGCTAAATGTTATCTCCATACTTTCTTTATGCAGCCCAAGTTCAGCCACACAATCAGCCGTGAAGCAGTCCGTTTGGCGTCACAATGCAAACACTGCAGGCGAAACCGGAGTGTTTAACAGCGCAAAAACGTTGCATGAAAGCTTTATGATTCTCTACAAACCTCAGTTTCAGTCTGATGTGTGTCTGACTGAGCGAAGTTCACTCTGGACAGGAAAGCCGAACTGTCAGCAGAGTGTCTGTACTTGTCACATGACCTCCTCACATAACAAAGCTGTTGTTTTTTTTAAACCTGTTATTAATGTGAAGACAGAAGGCACTTCGGTGCAATCGATCACAGTTAGTACACGACCCAGTTTTTAGTTTCAGTTTAGTTTTCATTAGTGATTAATATTGTCAGTAGGACTATGGGCAAATAATCATAAGGCAACTTTACTTGAACAAGTGTTTATCTTTAGGCTTCTTCTTCGTGGCTCCTGATTTTTGGGGCCCCCAATGAAGGCTTGAGTACGAGACTGAAATTTAAATCTTCTGTAAACCCGCATTTTATTTGGTTTGAGCTTTAGCTTTCTGTTGAAATGCAAGTCCTGAAGCCTGTGGTTTTCTTTTGAATAGTTATTTTATTATAATCTCTATAATATAAAGCCAAAGAAATTCTTAAAAGATAATTATGCCTTCGAAATAAGATCTAAATATCTTATGACTGTAAAATAACAAGCAGAATAACCATCTTGAACAGTTCCTACGGGGTCCTTTAAGGATCATTCAATGGCTAAAATACCAAGATTTGAGAGCAAATTAATTCACTGTCATGCATAAATCAGAATAAGCAACTTAGAGTAACATTTTATCAGTTCATACATTCCCTGGGAATCAAACCCTGATTAAGCTACAATTGGGTAATTTATTATTTATATACAGCATTTCAATAAATTGGTTTTGAAAATATGTTGCATGAATTTCATAAGACTGAGAGTTAATCAACACTTACACCCAGTGGTCTCAAGAAAAAAAAAATCTAATAATAATTAATCAACTACTCTTCCATGAAAGACATGTTAAGTATTACTGTACATCTTAATATTATAGACCAGCAGCAGCATTGTGTTCAAATGAATCACGCATACACTGGCACATGCATAATAAATACATTTATTAAAATGAAAATCATACTTCACATCATAATCAATTCATCAGATTAAAAAAAACAAGAGGTGCAAAAAAAAAAAAAAAGTCAACTGCAACAGCATTTCTGTTAACGGAGAGCAAAAGGTTTGTCACTATTAACGAAAGAGAAACCATAGTGTAGTTTTGGCATGTTTACGCAAACCACTGGCCTGCAGTGAGGAACGTGTTTGTGCAAATATCAGGAGGATCATGTGAACAGTATATTAAACAACATTTAAAACACTCATGTTTCTAGTCACCACACTCACACTGGTGTTCAATGGAAATAATTCAATACTGAAGATTGGATACATGATTAAAATTGGACTGATTACAACAATTTCTTTTTGGTCTGTATATATATATATCCAACTGCTCGACTCCAAACAAGAACGTTTGCCTGCAAGTCTAGAGACATACTGAGTGCAACTGCAGCCTGGATCCACAAATCATGAACAGAGAAGAACACAAGCTGAAAAGCATTGGCAGCAGATGAGCTGGGCTGCAGAAATCTGGAAAAAAAAAAAAATACTATAAAACTGCATCGATACAGTTTTTCTCATCCTTACAGGCATTTTGCACACAAATTTAAAGGCTTGCGTGGGCATATTTACGGCCCAAAGGAAAAAGAGGACTATAAAGATGATGTCAAAGCCACAAAAATGTGTCTTGAATCATTTCAACGAAAAATCCCCCAGTAAATCTGAGAGACAGCACAATCCTGTCAAAACACTTACAACAGGGACTCAATATGTGAAAATCACTTGGCAACACAAAAATGTGTTTAATAAACTACAGCCACCCTGTTTCACCATATAAATGTAGAAAGTACCAAACAAAAACTACTTGTTGAATGAATAGTTCACTCAAAAATTAAACTTTTTCTCCATCGGAACAGATTTGGAGAAATGTAGCATTCCATCACTTGCTCAGCAAGAGCTCCTCTGCAGTGAATGGGTGCCGTCAGAATGAGAGTCCAAACAGCTGATAAAAACATCACAGTAATCCACACCACTCCAGTGCATCAGTTAACATCTTAGGAAGTGAAAAGCTGTGAAAAACAAAAACAGCATTAAGACATTTTTAACTTCAAACCATTGATTCTGGCCAAAATAGGAGTCCTCGCTCCATAATATTGCTTTTTACAATGAAAAACACATCTCATCTGAATCAGGAGTGAAATATGCACAGATCAAGCACTGTTTACAAATCAAATTTATTTGTCATGTGGATCATCGTGATGTTTTTATCAGCTGTTTGGACTCTCATTCTGACGGCACCCATTCACTGCAGAGCATCCATTGGTGATGGAATGCTACATTTATACAAATATGATGAAGAAACAAACTCATCTAAATCTTGGATGGCTTGTAGGTGAGCACATTTTCAACAAAGTTTCATTTTTGGATTCCTTATTCCTTTCCTTAACTTTTTACTCCCTATTCCTTTAACTGCCTTTACATACTGCCAACCAGCTCAGTTACTCTGAGTATTATTTTGGTATGAAGAGATTTATGGAAAGGTCTCTGCTCCGTGATGAGGCATTCGTATCCCAGAGGTCAGTGACGAGTCCTGCGTGGGCACCATTCTGTGTCTGGGTAGAGTAGGCAGTGAACCGTTTTAAACCTGAAGAGATAATAGTTGCTTAATAGTCTTGCACTAAAACTTTTTGAAGTAATAGAAAAGCTATGTGTTTCAAGACTGTATGTATTTAGTGTACCGTGTAGGGTCTTCAGCCAATGAGAACGCTCCTCCAACACTGACAACATTCCTCCTGTTCTCGAATCCACCATAACTGAGGGTCACCTATGGAGGACAGCAAAGAAACACAGAACCTGTGAGGATCTCGATCATCATTGGACTGGAGTATTATTTAAGTGGGATATATATTTACACAGATGGGGTAAATTAAGTGTGTGGGAACAATCTGGGATCAAAGCCAAATCCAGCTGCACAGGACACTATCAAACACTGCTTTAGAAACACCGCGAGTGTATGCTAGTTTGGACAACCATGGTGCTACAACATTAACCAGTCACGACAGGATTTCACAATCTTTGGGTGATTTTTGTTGTGATCAAAATCACTGATTATATGGTGGTAATTTCCAGAATTTTGAGGGAAATTTGCACTGTTATTTTTATAATATTTACCATATTATGTATGACACTATATGTACAATAGTCAAACATTACAGGTAAAAAAAAAAAAAGAAGAAATCTTGTTTATTTTTGCCTTTTTAAAACTTTTATACAATATTTTCTGTTATTAAAAATAAGAACAAAGAAACAAATATACAAAGATACAAATGAAATAAAGAGTGCTTTAATTTTTTTCAAGTAGGTTTAGTATTCAGGTGAAAACAAACAGTACAGAAATTGAATATTCAAATGTAAAATTGAATTCCTACATACAATTCACAATGTAAAACACTATTATGACGTATGAATGACATATACTGAATCTTATTAAAGCTACTAATATTACTGAATCAAGAGCAGTGAGAGATTTTCTCTGTCTTTTGTTGTTTGATTAACATTAAATGACACGGACAGCGACGGGTATATTAGGCTAGAGTCACTTTGGGGCTGTTTACACCTGGTCACTTCATGCGTTTTGTCTGATCGGATAGCTCATGAAAAGACCAGGTGTAAATGCCCTCTTAAACGCATTCGAGACAGATATAAATCCGATCGCTCAAACCACTTCAGGAGGTGGTCTGGTGCCGCATTCCAGACGAAACTGGACAAGTGTAAATGCATCTGGTTGTTGAAACCACATATGTAAATTTTACTCCTCCCAAAATGTTAAAATAATAAACGCGTGAGAGCGTGTAATAGGCTATATGACATTATAGTCAGATATGACTGTGCTAATGCAACACGCATAACTGCGGACGAGTAGCTGAGCATCTCTTCAGCAAGCCGACGTGCAAACTGCCGCGAATTAAACAAAGTAAGACGCAGACGCTCAACACACAATCATCTTCATTAAAAGTAGTAAGACAAACTTATCTTTCCAGTGCCGATGACATGTATGAATGCGCTCTCCTACTGCGGTCTTTGATCTTGAAATGAGCTGATAATTAATAAAATGCAGCGCTTATCTTTTGATTTCGTTGACGTGAACTCCATTAAATTTGAATATAGCGCGGGAATTGAAGATCGGATTTAAATCCGTTCTGCGACGACACATTTATGTGGCCAAGTGTAAATGGAAACGTTTTAACAAATCAGATAGATATCCGATCAGCGAAAACGCATGAAATGACCAGGTGTAAACAGGCCCTTTAAGACTTAATTCACAGATCCAATATATATCAGTATAGACATCAGATTTTTTTTGCAAACATTTATACACTTTTACCATTTGCAATTTGGTGTGCATTTGACTGTTTAAGCATGTGTGCAGCAGCTTATTGCACTTAATAACTCTTTTTTTTTTTTTTTAAACATCCACGCTTTCTCATTTATGCATGTCTCTTTTTCATACTAATGTGTCAGAAAGTGATTATTTTGCGCTTAAATGACAAATTATGCAGGATTGCAAAAAAACCTGTTTGCTTTAATAAGTGCAACTGTGGAAACGTTTAATATGTCTGTTTTACACATTATGCTGGACATCTGGAGAAATCCCCACTTTTAGCCCATGGGCCATTCAGTGATCTGACCTGTTTGAGTATGTTGTCTGTTGGGAGTCTCTGCAGATTCTCCAGGTGTGAGTGGAACAGGCCTGTGTGTGTCAGTGGAACTTCCAGCAAAGCCTCGATGATGTAACCTACTGTACAGTCGTCCGGAAGGCGGATCTTCTCTGCAGTTGTAATGAAGTTTCCAAGACTGTGAGAGAGAAAGAAAAAAGAAAATATGTTTCCAATAGCAATTCACACAAGGACTTTAATTCAGTGTAAAAAGGATGTGCTTACATGTATGCCAAAACACTGATAACTACCAAAAGACATCTTATCGATTTGCATGTAAACCTGTTTTAGAGGCCTACATGCAAATTCACGAACCAACCATGGAAATAGCGGTTTACACATGATTTTGAAATGATGGTGTCTTGAATATATAAATATAAGTTGTCAAAATGACTGCATAGTCAGTCATGTGCACGCTGAATAAAGCTGACAAGAATGCTGAAAGATGTGTTTACATGTGAAGTGGATTTGGAAAACAGGCAGAAATTTATGCATGTCAGTTTTGTTTTGCTTAAACAGTGTATGACCTTTCTTACCAAAAATTAACACTTTATGGCATTTTCATGACCTTACACAATTTCTGACAGCATAATCAGTGTAAGATCACTGAGCGAAGATTAAAAATTAACTTACCTTGCCCATGGACTCATTTTGAGAGCTAAGCCTCGGCTGATGCAGAATCCAGCACCTCCAGTCGCAAACCAGAACTTCACTGATACCTGCAGAAGATATTCACGATAAACTACTGTTTCTAAACTACTGTTTTTCTTAGGCAAAGATGCATTAAATCGATCAAAAGTGACAGTAAAGCCAGATTTCTATGTCAAATAAATGCAGTTTTTTGAACTTTCTATTCATCAAAGAATCCTGAAAAATAAAATGTACCACGGTTTTCATAAAAACATGAAGCAGCACAACTGTTTTTAACATTGATAATAATCAGAAATGTTTCTTGAGCAGCAAATCAGCATATTAGAATGATTTCTGAAGATCATGTGACACTGAAGACTGGAGTAATGATGCTGAAAATTCAGCTTTGATCACAGAAATAAAAAGTCGGTTGCATAAAAGATTTAGACTAGTCTTACAAGTTAGTCATCTAATTTTTTTTCTTTAAGACAGGTCATATTTTTTTTTATTTGGTTACATAAAAACATAGATTAGTCTAAGCTGAATCCAAAAAATAAGACTGATTACCCCTTGGCTAAATGCTAGTTGGTCAGACTAGTTCTGAAGACACTGTCTTGACATAGAGGCTAAGTTTATGCAACTGGCCCCTGGTCTCCACCGCTTCATTAGCCCTACCCTCTCTTTTAAATCAAAAGACAAGACGGCTCACCGATCCGTCGCTCTTGACCCTCTCAGCGGCCTCTATGGGATGGTCCAGACTGGGTCTGCCCAGATACACGTCCTGTGTGTGAGAGTAGGACGACAGCAGCTCCAGCAAACTTGGCAGGATCACGTAGTTATCATCATCCATGTGACAGAACCACCTGCAGAACAGCACACATGAAACCACTGTCTCATTGCCTGTCAAATGTCTATCTCTTCTACTCACCAAAACTGCATTTATTTGATCAAAAATAGAGTAAAAACAGTAATATTGTGAAATATTATTACAACTTCAAATAGCTGTTTTCTATGTGAATATATTGTAAAATAGTAATTTATTTCTGTGATCCGCAGCTGAATTTTCAGCATCATTACTCCACTCTTCAGTGTCACATGATCTTCAGAAATCATTCTAATATGCTGATTTGCTGCTCAAGAAACATTTCTGATTATTATCAATGTTGAAAACAGTTGTGCTGCATCCTTTTTTGTGGAAATCATAATAAAATTTTTTTTCCCTGGATTCTTTGTTGAATAGAAAGTTAAAAACTATAGTTTTATTCGAAATAAAAATGTTTTTACGGTCACTTTTGATCAATTGAATATGTCCTTGCTGAACAAAAATGATTAATTTCTTTATTTTAATCTTATATACCCCCAATTATGGTATGGTAGTGTATCACGGTTTCCACAGAAATATTAAACAGCAAAAAAATTTTTTACATCACAGGAAAAAATGACATTTTGAAATGCATTAAAATAGAAAAACATTTTAAATTGTAATAATATTTCTCAATATTACTGTTTTTACTGCATTTATCACCAGATGCAGTCTTGGTGAGAAAAAAAGGACATCACAAAATCTTACTTATTCTAAATTTTTGACCAGTAGTGTAAATGAATGAAACATCTGCTGATAATGGCTGTATGATGACTGTACGCTATGATTTAATGCACTACATGTCCATTAAGAGCTTTTCTATTTAGCAGCATGAAAATGTGGCACACGTGGCCTTAAGATGAACTCAACTTTTTCTGTGACTCGATGAACTTGTCATACTCCACAGACATCTTGCAGCACAGGGCTTGACGCGTATGAGCCGCGGAGCAGTTGGTGTTGATGATGTTCAGCCCTTGAGGAGACAATGACATGACAATGATTTATATGACATCAGGATGTTTAGACATTCAATTATTTCACATGACATAGTCCGTGTCATGATGAAATGAAGCATGAATATGAGGTTCTTCTCACTAGGCATGAGTCAGGATGGTCGGTTAGGCGATTAAAGAGATTTTACTATGACATCTAGATTTCTCTCTAAATTTGAAGCTTTAAAATGAAGGTGGTTATTTATCTGCTCAGAGCAGGTTTACCTGTCTCAACAACTTCCATAAGAATGTTACCTGCTTTATGTCGGAGCTCCTTATCCTCGCCATCAGTGAAGATAAACGTCTGAAACAGAGTAAGTCAAAGTTCACTGCCACATGAAAGCTCAGCGTTCACTCAAAAACAATCTGCAGGAGCCTGAGATGTAGTGACAAGAACTGTGAAGACTTGTAAGGCTGAAATTACACAATTTACACATTAGGGCTTGCAAAATCGCTAGCCTGACATCCCAGGGCTATTGTGTTTTCTAGTAGGGCTATCAAAATGTATCACCTCCCTGCCCGACCAGCTATCTTAAATAGCAAAATACAATCCCTTCCTTGATTCACGTTGTTCACCTGCTTGCAGGGATGAAACGGATCGTAAGTGATCATTCGCCGTGTTTCGAAGTCTTGCCAATTTAAACATTTTAAACCATTCAAGTGCAAGAAGAGGCGAAAGAGAGTACTTCTTTAAGTGTTCTTTAAATAACTTTTTTTTTTTACTCAATACCCACAATATGATCCGTTGCACTCCTACACTCTTGACTTGTTATTTAAAGAAAAAATACAATCACTGAAGTTTTCGATCATGCTGATTTGTCCACAGTGAAGTTCAGTCGATATATTTTTTTATTCAGGCTAGTTAAATTCATTTACCAAAATACCAAAATCTGAAGAATGCCTGCCCGAAGGGCTACCAGGAATTCTGAAATTTTGCGAGTCTGAAATATACTGAAATATTTTTGTAAGTTGACCGTGTTTGACCTAAAATATTTACTTGAAGTACCCGCTGAGATTTTAAGTTATTATTTAATAATGACACATTCGCATGTCCTCAGTTCTCTGATAATGGTCTCATTACATGCAAGAAAACTGTTATTTCAGTATTGTTAAAATGCTATTATAGTTTGTTTTTTTTATATATAATATATAAAATTATTTTTATTGTATTTACCCCATTTTCATTTTAGTTAAAGTATTATTTAGTTAAAGTATTGTCACTTGTCTTTAATAATGTTATTATTATAATATAATTTTATTTCAGTTTTAGTTATTTTAGTACATCAAGTTAAATTGAATCAAAAATTGAATCAAAAAATTGGAAACATTCAGAATTTTTTTATATTTTATTTTAAGTTACAAACATGTATTTATTTTTGTGGTTTTAGTGATTGTTTTAGTTAACTATAATAACCCTGGGGTAAACAATTAAAATTAACGTTTAGTGTTGTTGACTTTTTGTTTTTATTTTAAAATGGATTGATTGATTTAAATTAGTTCCCTCACAAACTCCAGTTTGGGAAACCCTGATTTGGGTTCCAGTTTACACACACACACACACACACACACACACACACACATCTTCAAAGGAACAAATAATGAATGCACGAATGCTCTGTGCATCCTGACCCAATGTTTCCTTAAAAATGTCCAAAACAATCTGTAAGCTGGCACAGGCCACAGGCATCTGGAGCCGAGCACCATTCCTGAAATCCAGGCTGAAATGCCTCAGAGGGACAGAGCCATCTCTGGATCCAACACTGGCTTACTCATGATGTTTCTGACAAATAGCATGTTTGAGCAGGTCCACTTTAAAACAGGGAAAACATAAAATACCGCTTGTCATTTGTACAAGTTGTATTTTAAGGTAAAAAGCAGTTAGACTTTGGAAAACTCCTGAACAAAGCCACTTTGAGAATGTCTAGGATTGTTTTTGCCAGTGCTGAGGATTAAAGCTTTCCATGAGGACATAACGTCTCCAACAAAATGAGCTCTTCAATATGTATGCATTCATTCATCTGTGAATGCTCATTGGTCCTTTTCAGAAAATGTAACTAAAAAACAGCATCAAAAAGGACAGAAGGTTATTTAAGTAGAAAGTCATATAAGGAATAAGGTTGATGGACTTTGTCCTAAAATCTGAACATTGCAAATCTAATAGGGAAAGAATGTTTCTTCTGGCATGAGCGGAGCTGGCACTTTATGCTGAAGCTGTTTTTACCAAACACAATCTGGCTTTATGAGCAAAGCTGAGCGGGTGAGCGCTTGAAATTTCTCCTGGGCATTTGGCTCTGTTGTGCAATGGCAAAACAATGGAGCTGCGCTGTTTTACAGGTTAAGTCAATCTTGGGGCCCCTCTGGGCCCCACACTCGGCACTCCGGAGAGGCCTCAGGAAGGGGGGTGTCTGCTGCCCTGGCGCCTTTGACAGTCAAGTGAATGTTCTTGGATGAAAGCAAACACACGCTGTCTTGTGTCTGTGGCTCTCAGGTTGCTGAGGAACTTCCTCTTGCAGGGGGCCCGAGGGGCACCAGGACTGATCCCCGTTAACAGCCACACATATAAACGCAGCAGGCACACCGCCAGAGAGCAGCTGACACACTTCCTGCTCACGGGTTTACACTGAACACTGTGAGTATTCACACCTTTAAACATGGCACTGACCAACTGCAAGGAGCTGCAAAATGACAGATCCCAAAACCACCATCCAATCAACAACAGACGGATCAAACCAAGTCCTCTCCACACAGTTTTTTTTTTGTGCTTTTCGATAAACATTATAAATATGGAAGCAAAGACTTATCGCTACTTATGTTTCATAATGACTTTAAAATATTGTAAAACATCCTGAAAATGTTGTACTATATATCAGAACCATATTGACCAATATTAGACTTTTTTTTTTTTTGCATTTACTGGTGTTGTTGATAAGTGTTTGTGTTAATAATAGTTAATTAAATGTTCAGTGCTCATTGCTCTTATTTTTACATTTAAATTATCTTTGCCATAGGGCTGCACAATTTGGGGAAAAAACATCTAATTGGGATTTTTCTGCTAGTTTAAAGGCAGATGAAACGGTGCTGACATTCTCAACAACATTGACACAGAAAACAGGAGAAACATTGTGCGACAACAGTCCAGTTACTTTAAATACTTTTCAATCCACAAATCACCAACATTTACAAAGGATTTCCTTTAGAAACACTAACTGTAACTGTGGTATTGTGACAGAAATGTAGGAAATTCATATCAAAATGTATTATATTATTAATGTAGAAATGTAGGCCTATTGAATGTATTAAGTGAGTAATGAAATATAGGCCAAATTACATTGAATCTGGAAGTCTGGACAGCTGAATCAAAAGATGGCAGAAATGTTTTGAATGATTAAACATGAAGACAATAAACACTCCTACGACAATATATGGTTTATCTGTGTTCTTCAAGCCATCTCGGGTATTTTCATAATAATTAAGTATATTTGTAATTCATTTCTAATCGACATAGCCTTTTTTACAGTATAGAATATATTTTCTATAAAGAATATATTATTCTTATCCATTATGTGGCGGGCCGCCACAAATAAATCAATGTATGGGAAACACTGGTAATGTGCTTAAGAATCATATCACCGTTATTGAAAAAAAATTATATCGTGATATATATTGATATTGAATTATTGTCCAGCCCTAGTTACAATGATCTCTTTTGTTGGACAACAGGTTTAGAAACGCTTCCCATTACAAGTTATTACAGCGGAAGATGCTCGGCATGTGATGCTTTTTCAAATGCACGTTATAAGTGGGGAGGCGTTTCCTCATCTGAGCGCGTGACTCGCGGAAATTATTTAAACGTAAAACCAAAACAAAAAACCGCAATTCACAAGCATGAATTAAACCGTGAATGTCGTACCAAGCCGGTTCAATATTATATTGAAAATTGTGGCATCCCTAGTTAATAAGATCAAAAAGAATGTATTGGGAGTTTTACCTCTAGTGGATGGCAAAATAATTGACTAGTGAGTATTAATACGCAGACAGTTAAAACACCTCCCTACCTGTTCCTTGGCTTTGGACACCCAGGTCTGGGACAGGAGCTGCAATCTGGACTTGTGATATTTCCTGGTGGTCTTAACAGCAATAAAAATGTCTCTCAAATCCAAAGAGTCTTTGGAACGGGACCCAGGGGATCTGGCGTGTGCAGCGTCTCCCTCTAACATCCTCTGTGGGTCCTCGGGTCGGCCTCTAGGAGGAAGTGGGTGAATGAAACTACCATCCTTGGCATCATCGCTTCCTTGGCCGGGGTTCCCATTGAGGTCATGTCTGCGTCCGGCTCCGGCGGGCCTGGTACGGGGCCGAGGTTGGGGCAGATCCTTCTGACGCTGCAGAGGTTGTAAGGAGGGAATAAGCAGCACCAGTAGGGCACAGAACGCCAGGGAAAGCAGGAAGCAGATTTTGTTGGTGCCAACATGGGATAAGTGCATTCTTCCTGTACTCGACGCCAGCTCAGCCGCCCACGCCTGCCTGACTCTCCACAACAGCGCCCATCTTCACTGCATCACTGCAGACCCTGCGTAAACAAAACCACAAGTGCATTAGCAAGAAATTAAGTTTCATTATCTTTAAATTACTCAACCGTCTTAAAGGAATAGTGCACCCAAACATTAAAATGTGCTGAAAATGTAGTCACCCTCAGGCCATCCAAGATGTAGATGAGTGCATCAATTAACATCTTGAGAAGCAAAATATGCGAGTCTATAATTTAAAAATTCATATTTTTAACTTTAAACCATTGCTTCCAGCTAAAATATGAGTCCATTAACCATTAAATTGTTTTCTTCAGTGAAAACGTCAGGAATCAGGAGAGAAATATGCTCAGATCAAGCACTGTTTACAAGGGAAAACAGTCTAAAACAGCTTTAAACAAGACTCGTGTTTTGGCCTGAATCAATGGTTTGAAGTTAAAAACGTCTTAATGATGGATTTGTTTCTTACAAACACGCAGCTTTTGGCTTCACAAGATGTTAACTGATGGACTGGAGTTGTGTTGATTATTTGTGGATTATTGTGATGTTTTTATCAGCTGTTTGGACTCTCATTCTGACGGCACCCATTCACTGCAGAGGATCCATTGGTGAGCAAGTGATGGAGTGCTACATTTCTCCAAATCTGATGAAGAAACAAACTCATCTACATCTTGGATGGACTGAAGATGAGTACATTCAGCAAACTTTCATATTTGGGTGAACTATTCCTTTAATAGATTCATGTAATTAATCTTAAATGAATCATTAGCTGAACATGAACAAACCTGCCAGGCTCTTTAAATGTTCAAACATGTTTTCTTTTATTCCCCTAGAAGTGCATTGTGCAATCCAAAGAAAGCATATGCATTCGGTTTCATTTTGGCACTGGCGAGCATCTGTCAGCCCTAATAACAGCCTAAGCCATCAATGCGAGCCACTTCCTGTCTTCTATTTTCAGAGTTGAAATGATACCTCAAGCAGTCACAGATGTGGAAGCTGAAGGCTGCAGAGTCAGCATGAAATCATATTCATACTCAAGACCAGCTAAAAACTCTTCTAAGTGTGATGCACCTTAATGCAAATATTTAATTTTTTTGTATTTTTATTTATATAACAATTAATGCTGGTCTTTTAATTTGACTGGCATCCCAAAAGTGCTGATTTACCAGCACTGAGACATGCCAGTGTTTGTATGATGACGCTTGTCTGTGCTGAACTGCAAGATGTTTGCTCACTATTCTAAAAAGAAAACTCTGAATTGTGAGATAAATATATAAAACAGAACTGCAAGATGTAAAATCAATTCAGATAAAATGTAAATGATGTAAACTCACAATTACGAGTTTATAACTTAAAAAAAAAAAGACACAGTGTTAGGCCTGTCGCAATAATCAATATATCGACTTATCGCGCAATATATGTACATAACCTCAATAATTTTTGGTGACGTAATATATCGCCCATTATATTTACTTAAATTAATGTCACCATGTTTTGTACATTCCACTTGCGCCTGTGTCTTTTGCAGCTTCTTGTACATAGCGTGGTGTAGTCATAAGGTGCTAGTAAAAAATTAAAAAATGCTTCTACAAAAGTTTCATCTGCAGATATGGCCTTGTTTAGGGATCTGTGTCTTTGTGCATACGGACATCTGACTGCTAAGTAGGGATTGTGTAGTTCTTTGTGCATTTTTCTTTTTTTCTACTTTGCACTTTTTGTTAGAGAAGGTTTATTTGCTATTTATTCAGGTTTTTTAAGGTATCTAATATTTTTATACTCAATTTCCATAATCTAAATATTCTTAAAAATTAAATGTTTGTTGTCATTTGGAAGTGTGTAGGCCTTCTTGCATTATTATGCTGTTACATTATGATTATATATTCTATAAAATAAATGTTCGTGTCTTAAGATTGAAAATGTGACTGGGACAAGTGTAAATGTAAATAAATGTCCAACAAAGTGTTAAGATGACATATAACACAAAGAAATGTCGTTAGTTAACTACTTTAGTTAGCATGAACTAAGCATTAACAATATTTCTACAGCATTTATTAATCTTAGTTCATGTCAATTCCAACATTTACTAATGCATTATTAAAATCAAAAGTTGTGCTCTTATCGCAATTATTTCTGGGGCAATACATCGCACAACAAAAAGTTGTTATCGTGACAGGCCTACACAGTGTCGCAATTACCTTTTTTATTTTTTTATTCCATGGCAGAAATAAGCTTTCATATGTTCCAGACCGAAGTATGTAAGTGGTACTGAGTCTAGTCTAAGGCTCATTTCACTGCTAGAAGTTTATGTATCCTGAACACACAATTAAATCATATTTTCTTTTTTTGTATAATGTGACAAAATCAAAGCTTGATTAGAAAGTACTTTTGGTACAAAAACTGTTCAACGTGGTGAATATAATGCCAGAAAAAAAGATATAAATCATCACATAATAAATACTGAAATGGTTTATGATTATTTCATTCTTTGTTTAGATTATGATGGTTTTACATATGTATTAATGAAGATTTTTGTAATAATTTTTCATGTTTTAAGATAAAAAATCTGCATCTGGGGTTTACATGCATTATTTAGTCTTACTTATGGTTAGTGTTAAATTATTTAGTAATAATGAATTTGAATTTCATATAAATTAAATTATGCCTACTAGTAATCACATATGTATATTTATTCTTTCTTAACTATTACACTATGAATTTTTGTATTTAGTAAATAAAACAAAATTGAACTGACAAGGTGTTTAAAACAGCCTGCAATGTATACACACATGTATATATATATATATATATATATATGTGTGTGTGTGTGTGTGTGTGTGTGTGTGTGTGTTATTGACGTGTTTATTAATAATAATTTGTTACATTTACAGTGGGTACGGAAAGTATTCAGACCCCCTTAAATTTTTCACTCTTTGTTATATTGCAGCCATTTGCTAAAATCTAAGATGACATATAACACAAAGAAATGTCGTTAGTTAACTACTTTAGTTAGCATGAACTAAGCATTAACAATATTTCTACAGCATTTATTAATCTTAGTTCATGTCAATTCCAACATTTACTAATGCATTATTAAAATCAAAAGTTGTGCTTTTTAACACGAGTTAATGCACCGTGAATGAACATGAACAATGATCGACTGCATTTTTATTAACTAACATTAACAAAGATTAATAAAAACTGTAATAAATGTAATACTCTAATACATTAACTAATGGAACCATATTGTAAAGTGTTACCGAAAAACTATTCTTTTAATAATATTAAAATAATAATAATACAAATAACACTTGAGACATAAAAGAGTGCAAAGTTTAGAATGACTACTATATCCAAATACCCTATTATTTACATGAAACTTCTGTGCATCAAAAATACCACGGTACTTCAATGTTACATGAAGTCCAATACACAACAGGACATTCAGACCAGGTCCAAAAATCACTTCTTTGTCTGACCTGAAGTGACCTGCACCATTTAGACACAGTTTTCGCAACATTTCTGTACGAACCGAACGTTTACACAAACCGAGCAAAGGTCAAATAAAGCCATTCAACTTGCAAAAATAAGCAAACTTTGTCTGCTTTGGCCAGACACGAGTTCGTCCCTTACCGAGAGCCACCGGACGGTCATCCTAGAGACTTTTAACCAAATAATAAAAGAGTCGTGCCGCTCCTCGTCGACTCTTCCAGATCCATCTGCTTATTGTTCCTGCTTTGACTTCTTCAAAGCTCCTCCCGAAGCTCAGAGACTCTCCCGCTCAGCTCTGAATCACTGCTGCGGTGCTGCTGTTTTGAATGACCTCTGTGACTGTGCCAAAGATACATAAGATACATTACAGCTACATTGTGCTTTCTGTAGATGCTTCGCATGCTTTGATATCAGCGCCCTCTGGCGGATGTGACGTGATGCAGCAGAGGATGTCGTCACTAAGTCCTTCTGCTGAAATTGCACTTTAACCAGCTGTTTTTGAGTCCTGATATCCCTTTGACGTGACGTGACGTAACATGTGGCCAAGTATGGTGACCCATACTCGGAATTAGTGCTCTGCATTTAACCCATCCTAAGTGCACACACACAGCAGTGAACACACACACACCGTGAACACACACCCGGAGCAGTGGGCAGCCATTTATGCTGCGGCGCCCGGGGAGCAGTTGTGGGTTCGGTGCCTTGCTCAAGGGCACCTCAGTCGTGGTATTGAAGGTGGGAGAGAGCGCTGTGCATTCCCTCCCCCTACCTTCAATCCCTGCCGGTACGAGACTCGAACCCACAACCTTTGGGTTATGAGTCCGACTCTCTAACCATTAGGCCACGACTTCCCCAAAATATTGTATATTGTATACAATATTGTATACAATTACAATTACAATATTGTAATATGAAAATGTTATTCTTGGTTGTACACATTTTTGAGAGAGAAGTGTTTTATGTGTTTATTTAATCGATTTTTTGATTAAATCGATCGAAATTTTCTTTTTGGCAAACTATTTTATACACAGGTTTAAATTTTGTAAGAGTAAGTTTTTTTTATTTATTTTATTATTATTTTTTTTTCCTCGAAGACTTAAAATTCTGCATGTATCTGCTTCCTGATCCTGTACTTTTGACATTAATATAGCATATATTCACTATTAATCATTTATTTGTTCTTAAAAATTGTAACCTCTTTTTATTTTATA